TTCTTGTCATTTTCAGCCACCAAAAGGCGAACAATTTTCATCACATGGCCCCATCATAATGTACTCTCAGCATAGGCCCCACAGCAGCAGGCCATCTGGTCATGTATGGGAACCTTCAAAATACTTTTTTCTTCTTGAGTTGATTATTTAGAACATTTTATCACAGTGCTAGAAAGCTGAGTAACACATACACAGAGGGCCTCCCACAAGGTCACATGCTTTACAGAACTTCAGGTCAGCCAGTATCTGCAGAACTCCTTAATGCCATTTAATCCACTTCTCTATATCACAGAAGAAAAGGCTTCCTTAAGTCCAGCTAGGTATGTTAGAGACAGAGAAAGAATTCAGGTCTCTTGCCCCCATTTAGTGTCTTAGCTTTTAAACTAGACTGCTGTTCTCTGGTGACCTAAAGCATCTCCCAGTTCTAATCAGCAACCCCAGGTGGTCTTCCATGCAATCATCCATCTTACCTTCTTTTGGAATAAACAAGCCTGCTCTTTCATCTTTTTTTTGGGCTGTTGTCTGTTCAACCAATTTATCGAAATCAACCAAGGCTGCTTTGAAATTGTTAATCTGTAGTGCAAGGTTGAGCTGCTTGTCATTTCTGGAATCCATACAGACATAAGGAACTTCTTATTTTTGTATAGAAATAATTATGCGAATTTGCAAATGTCAAAAAGCTTCTAGTTCTTCCAGCACCTCTCTGCTGTCTCAGCTTTTGCCCTGGGTCTCATTCCTTTGATTTTAAATTCCCATCCCACGGGAACAAGGAGTAAGAGTTGCCCCTAGGATGTTAGCAGAAGGAAAGCCGAGGCCTGCTGCATTTCACAGAGACAGGGGTGTTAGTGAGGGGCCCTGACCTCATAATGTGAGCATTGTCCTTCATGTAGACCTCATTACATCACAGTATCTCTGAAAGTCTTGCAGCAGATTGAAATCACCTCCTGCAGTGTGAGTGTGAGTGTGTGTGTGTGTGTGTGTGTGTGTGTGTCTGTCTGTCTGTCTGTCCATTGAGAAGAGGATGAGTAAAGACAAATGCCTTTTCTAGGAATAAATGTCTCTTCTCACTGTCAACTTCCTGTCTCCCTTAAGGTACCAAAAGGAGGAACGTTCACATTTGTTCCCACAGCTCTCCTGGATGTGGAAATTCCAACTTATGAGCATGAAAATGTATTCTATCACCTGTCTTATTTGGCACAAATAAAAATAATTTTGGAAATCGTGGAGAATAAAAATGTTTCTTTTCTCTTTATTCATTTACCTTGAATTAAAGTACTAGAAGGAGCCATGGATGAGGAAGGCATCCTTGTGGGAAGAGTTTCTCCAGAGGAGTCAGCTGAAAGAGAGGAGGCCTTTCTGATTGCCTTTCCCTTCAACACTAGCACCTAATTCCACCAAGTCCAACTGTTTACTTTTGACTCAAGTTTTGCAGTCTCAAACTTTGTGTGTGTGTGTATCTGAGTGTGTGTGTGTGTGTGTGTGTGTGTGTGTGTGTGTGGTGTAGTGCACATGTGTTTGCTGCTGTGGGTGTGTTTGCTGGTATGCGTGCACAAGAAGGCCTGAGGATGATATTGGACATTTTCCTTAATCACCCTCCACCTTAATTTTTGACATAGGATCTCTTTGGACCAGGAGCTGCTTTGGCTGTATTGGCCCTAAGGATTCACCTGTCTCTGCATGCCCAGCACTAGTATTACAGGTGTCTAACCCATGGTGCCTATCTTCTTCTGTGGGTGCTGCTGGGGATCTCTATTCAGGTATCCATGCTTGTGTAGCAAATACTTTATCAACTGAGATAGCTTTCCAACTTTTTATGAAAGTCCCATCTCTCTGCTCATCCATCACCAGTTAAATTATGGAAGTTTGGGTGAGACAGTTGAGGTCTCCATTCCTTGATAGTTTCTTTTTTAAATCTTCGTGTGAAACTCTGAGTCCAGAATAAAAACAAATGCATTGGGTACACTTCTGCTTTGAGTCCTAGGTCAACTCTTGGAATACATCTCTAACAATGAGCTATTAGGAGAGTAAATCTCTATAAACATGTTACACAGAGAATCTTCTCTCTCTATTCTTTTTCTCCTTTAAAGCTCTCGGAATACTACTTAGCAATATCCAAGGAACTATCTTTCCTACAATTCTCAATCATGAATTCTTATATTCATGTATCCATTCATTTAGCAAGTATTTATGGAACACCTACTTTATGCTAGAGGGTGTTTTCGGCATTAATGATACCATATTGAGCAAAACAGTGTCTTGAACTTACAACCTAGCAGAGAAACAGATACATATGTAGTATGCCAGAAGGTGGTAAATGCTCTGAAGACAGAGTAAAGGTGTGTGCACTGGGGTGTGTGGGAAAGGCCAAGGAAAAGAAATCATGCTAACAAAAAAGATATTTGGCAAAACCCTGCAGGGGAGGTAGCAGCCATGTGGTTAAATGGCAAGAGGATGTTCCAGGGAACCACAGGAATAATGTCCTGACATTAGCAGATGCTTGACACACCCAAGAAACAACACACTTCAGCAGCACATAGGTGTGTAGGAAAAGAAGGAGTGGCCAGATCCAGTATGACCACAGAGGTATTATAAAGACTTTAGCTTTTCCTCTGAGAGATACAGAAAGAACCTGTGTGAGTCTCGTGTCCTTGGTAAGATAAGCCCATGTAGAAATAAATATATTGGTGATTATGGGTTAATAATTTAGACAGAGCTAGCCAATAAAAAAGCTAGTAACAGGCCAACAGTTTCATAATTAATACAGTGTCTCTGTGTGTTATTTGGGGCTCATGTGGCTGTGGGACCAGGCTGGCAGGAAAGCACGTAACAGACCTCAGCAGAACACTAACATATTTTGACTTGTGTGTGAAAAGGGTTCTTCCAAATAACTTTGTGAAAAATAAGCCGAGAAAGGGAAAATAGGAGAAGAGAATAGACCAGTGAGTGGCAGTTTTTGAATAATCAAAGCAAGAGATGGTAGAAGTTCAGAATGTATGTGGACTGTAGTTGGATTCTCTACAATCAAACTTAAAACATTACAATTCATACAAAATGGCTAAAAATCAGAATGCTGCCAAGATTATTGGTGACATTAAGAAATTATTGGTGGGAGTAGTTAGAGTAGATACTCTACCCAGAAGACTAGCATTCAACATCAGGCAATTCACAACTGCCTGTAATTCCAGCTCCAGGGGGTCCAATACTGCCTTCTGTCTTCCATGAGCACCTGCACACAATGAACACACACACACACATGAACACATGTACACACATAGTAATTTAAAAAAAAATAAATGTTTTAAATCACACTATTGCTCGTTTTATTAGATGTTATATTTTCTGTTACATTGGTCTTAGTTCATTCCTGCTGCTACACTGAAATGTGCCTCTCTTTTTTTCTTTCCTGTTTTCTCTGCCTTATAATCATTTATGGAATCTGACATCTTATATATAAACCAATGTGATTATTATTATCATCTCTCCCAACACCACTAGAAAGTGAGCTTTATAGAAAAAGACTCTTTGCCTAAAAATGAATGCTTTACGGGGAAAAAAAAATCCTCCCTTCTTTCCTTCCTTCCTTTCTCTCTTCCTTTCTTTCTTCCTTCCACTAACATTCAAATCTTAGTGTAGATGACAAAAACATACTATGATGAAAATACAATGGATTAAAAAATATCTCGTTAGATGGCCTTATGTCTAAAGCACAAAATTAAAAAACGTTTTTCAGGGCAGATGAGTTCAAAGGTTTCATCGTAGATGTTGACACCAGGTTAGAAGCCTTAAAGATAAGATCAAGATTTCAAGGACCGTGCTCACTATCATCTAACTGGCTAGTGTTCCCTGCAGTAGGGTATGGCACTGTCTATCCACCAAGCTGATTCTTGGAGAACTGGGAGGGGTGAACACTCGTGCACATCACTTTAGATTCCACAAAACCAATCATTAGTGCCCATGACAGTTTCAAGTGCAGCCCAGGACATCTTCCTCCAGTGGGTAGTTATCAGGGACTGCAGCGGAGACCGAGAAGTGTATCGCGTTCACATTCTATATTTGACTTGTACTATATTTCCATTGCTGCCAGGGAAAGATCCATTGGAAAATGCGTGCTGTTCTAAATATATCCTCTCTATACCTGCTAGATTTAGATCGAAGCCTCGGGGCACTGCTCAAGAGGTCACCTCCAGTGAAGCATTTCAGCTGGCTTGTGTGTCAGGGTACCCCTGCAGCAGACAGAGCCAGACAGGAAGGGCTTGACTAGGGTGCCATTCCAATGCCATTTCCTTCCTTATCCTAGAGCTCTGAGCGTGGCAGGTGTGCCACCTCTTGCCATCTCGGCATACTGTCATAAGCTCTGGGACATATTTTCCAGCTCTGAGTAGTTAAGTCTCAGCCAGCTGTTTTTTTGTTTTGTTTTGTTTTAAACCTGTTTCCTTGTTTGTAAAATTGGCTGGTAACCTACCTCGTGCATTTCAGTATTTAGTTCTCTTTCTATTGGGTGTATGAGGTGGGGAGGGTGTTACAGCTCCCCAGGAAAGGGAGAATCCTAACTGGGAGTTATTCCATTCAGCACACTCAACAGTTCAGCGCAGGCGTTCATAAATATTTATGAATGAATGTGTGCAAGGGTGAGTGACTGAACGGGTGAATGAATATGATGCTTTCCAGCCAATTGAGGGGAAATGGGCTGTGAGGACCCGCTGAAGCTGATTTAGCTCCGTAAAGGAATTTACTTCCCTTTCTTCTGTACATTCTCTTCCGGCTTCCATCATAGCTTAGAAGCAGTGCAAGTACCTGACTGGACCTTGGGACTCGCCTACGCTGGGTGGAGACACGCGTGGGAGGTGAGAGAGGGGAAGGGGCGGACCGCTAGGGTAGCGGGGCGGGGGCCACAACTCAGGGGGCGGAGTCAGTGGTGGCCTGGGGGCGTGGCTATATCCCAGGGACGGGGCCAAATTTGCAAGCCACAGGGCGGTTTACCAGGTTGTTCCGGAGGAGGAGTCTCACACAGAACAGAAGAGCCTTAGGAGGGCGTGGTCAAGAAGGTTGTCGTGTGGGTGGGGCCACGGACCATGAGGGCGTGGCCTCCAGGGAGATCATTGGGATCGGTCGCAAGTGCTCTCTGGTAAGGAGCAGGCCTCACGCGGGAGGGCGGGATCTCCAGAGCGCTGGGAAGGCGGAGCTACACTTGCTGGAGGCGGGGCTTTGCCACTGGAGGGCAGGGCCTCGGGCGCGCGCGAGTTGGGCGGGCCCGGCGCGGCGCCGTGGCACAATGGCCTTAGCGGCCGGCTGAGCGCGAGCTCCACCCCGTTTGCCGCGCCGCGGGCCGCCCAACTCATCGAGCCCTCGCCCGCACCGCGCGCCGGCGTCGGGCCATGTACTCGGGGAACCGCAGCGGCGACCAGGGCTACTGGGAGGACGGGGCGGGCGCCGAGGGCGCAGCGCCGGCGGGCACGCGGAGCCCCGCGCCGCTCTTCAGCCCCACGGCGTACGAGCGCCTGGCACTAGTGCTTGGCGGCCTCGCGCTGCTGGGCGTCGGCGGCAACCTGCTAGTGCTGCTGCTCTACACCAAGTTCCCGCGGCTGCGCACGCCCACCCACCTCTTCCTGGTCAACCTCAGCCTGGGCGACCTGCTGGTGTCCCTGTTTGGAGTCACCTTCACCTTCGCGTCGTGCCTGCGGAACGGCTGGGTGTGGGACGCTGTGGGCTGCGCGTGGGACGGGTTTAGCGGCAGCCTCTTCGGTGAGTCGCCCGGCACGCATTCTGCTCTCCTCCCAACTTTCCCTGGGTACTTCAGCTCTGAGCTTTCGTCCTCTCCGGGATCCTCCCTTCTAGCCAGTCATCACCCCTGACTCCTGGTCTCGTCCCCGGGATCCTGCCTTCTAGCTCATCTCCATCCCCAAACTCCCTGTTTCCCTCCTCCCCTCCTCCTCGGGGTCCTTCCAGCCAGGCGTCATCCCCAGCTCCCAATGCAGCTGTAGCAGTTCTGAAAGTCTCCCTACTGCTGGCCAGCTTATATCTTCTCATCTCTGTTGTGTTTTTACTTCCTACTGTAAGCTCAACAGGGCTTTTCATAATGGTCTTTACACATGGGCGAGAGAAATGAGGGCCTGTAGAGTCAAGAGATGCATGAAAAAGGCAACTCCTGAAAAGTGGAGAAGGGGACAAGGATACATTTAATTTAGTATTTAATTAGTATTTGTTTCTAAAAGTGACACGTAGACTCCCAAATAAAGGTGTATCTCCCCCTCCCTTTCATTCGCTAGGAATTTTAAACCGATGAATGCTTCCTAGGAAGCGAGACGGCATGACATTTTTAATTGTATATCCTCTACATAGATTATGTCACACCAGAGGTTACAAATGGCTCAGAAGTCCAACTCATTGGTGTGACTAATTAGCTGGGCAGTAAGTACGTTTAATTAAAGTAGAACTTGTTGATTTCTTGAAGATTTATATTAAGAATTGACAGGTGGGAGCTCGACTAAGTATTCAAAGCTTGGGAAAGACTGTGTGTGTGTGTGTGTGTGTGTGTGTGTGTGTGTGTGTGTATGTGTTATGTATGGGGAAGGTATGGGTATGTGTGTGTGTGTCCTAAGAATTTTGTTTGTACAGAGATTTGAAATAGAAACGGGTATTGAAACACACTAATAATTTAGTTTACTGCTGTCTTCATCTTGGCAGATTTAGAGAAAAACATCTATGTAATATAGATATTTTTATTTGCCAACTTATGTATAACAAACCTAAAACTCATGTTATTTGTCATGATTCCTTTTTTTTTTTTTTTAAGTTTTAAAGAAAACAAAATTTGGGAGTTTAGTTTCTTCCCCTAATAAACATTAATCAAGGATTTCCTTTATACAAAAATACTGAAACTTAGCTGTGAGAGGATGTGAGTGATAATGTAGGTTGACTATATGGTTATTCTCTGTGAAAACTAAAAATGTTGGTCAGGAGAGTTTGGGGGCTGATTCATCTTTAAAGAAGGTGGTGAGTGTCAATCAGGCCTAGCTTGCAGAATCCCTGGGGTAGGCGACAGGTGTTTGTTCACAGACATAAAAGGTTTTTTTTTTTTTTTTTTTTTTTTTTTTTTTCCTGTGAAGTACTTAAGTACTTTCCTGTGCTGTGCTGTTCAACTGGGAGTCTGAAAACAAAAATGGATTGAGGTGGTTTTGTTTTTTTATAAGGGTTTGCAGCATCCACCCTGTCTCACCCCTCTTGCTCTGTCAGCCTCATCTTCCAGTCCTGTCTTCCCCTTTCCCCCTGCTGGGAGCCATCCTTATCAGAAGAAAAATTTTAAGACCTCTAGAAACATCCACCTTGGTGTTTTACCAGAGGTAAAACTCAGGGCACTTATTAGTGCTTTCAATCATGGCATTTATTCCCATCCTAAAGCCTGAGGTAGCTCTTCTGGGCTTAGAGGATTGGAAATCAGTTAGCCCTTGGAGACAAGAGTGAGGTTACTGCGGAACTCACAGTGTTCCCAGCAAAGAAAACTTCTCCCAGAGTAAGGTTAAAGATGGAGTAAGAGAAGACTTCCTTTCCATCCCTAAGCCAGAACTAACCAATCCTGAGTATGAAAGGAGAAGAAATTTTTAAATACTAGGAGTAGCTAGCTGCTTGCTCCGGAGCTTTGGTGAGGCTGCAGCCACTGGTCTGTTGGGGGCCTATGGCTACTTCATTTTTTGCATTTCCCCCAAGTCATTCACTCTCCCAGGCTGCCAGTTTTCCCATCTTTGTTATTGAGCTGACTGTGTTTACGGTCACCTATGCCATTTGCTTTGTATTTCTGAAGACTCTTTTGACATCTACAGGGTAGAAAGTACCTACACTTTGTGCTTATAACCTGCATCCTGCCTCACTGCCTGCCTCAGCCTTGTTCCCTTCCATGCCTAGAGGAAGTGAATACATGTTTACACTTTAGTCCGCCTTCTAGGTTCTGTCTCCCTCTCTACACCCTGCTAGAAGAAGGGCGAGTAAGTAATTCATCTGTTCTTACATATTTGCACAAGTAGACTAGGCAATTGCTTCCTTCTGGGCTTTCCTCTCCTGGCTTCTTAAAGAAAGCTAAAAATAAGTAGAATCCCTGATAATCTTGGTCAGAGATTTCTACCAGCTGGGCTTGTTAGGATCACTTGTCATGCCAGCAACCTAGTGAAGTTCATGTAAATTCCAGTTGAATGGCTTGTTTTATGAGTATCAGAAGTATCATACTCTTACGTGTACCTGCATCTAGAGGTCAGCAGATTTAACGGTAGTGAAAAGTAGAGAAGCTAAGGACCACTTGCTGCTGCTGTGTATGCTGAGCCATAAAAAGGCTGCTAGTCGGGTGTGTAAATGCGCTGGCCTGCCGACTTCCAGGTGAGTATGTTCAAAGGAAAAGCCTCCAGCCACACCCAGCATCACATGGATAAAGCCAGCATGAGATAGGAGGGTCCAGGAGAGTTCTTTCCTGTTACTTCTTTAGAAATGGAAAAAAAAAAAAAACATGTTTAGAAAGAGATTTGTAGTTGCAGAGACAGTCTGGCAAGATGTAAATATTTCCTCACTTAGACGTTATGAATACATATTATTTATGTTGAAATGGTTTAATACAGGAAACCAGGAACTTTCACATGTGTACTTTGATACAGAAAATGTTACAAAACTATTTCCCCTCAGGCCTGTTCTTTTACATACCTACATATATTAAATGCCAGTTATTGAGTTAATTTTCTTGTGATATCTGGATGTCTGATGTATCTCCTGCAAGATTCTTAGGTAGTTCAGGATGTAAAGTCTCCTATGTAGCTGTCTGGAATTACCCACAGACTTTCCTGAACCCCAGAAATACCATTATGTTGACATGGTCATTCAGCATAGTATGTTTGCGTAAACACAGTAAAGCCACAAATCTCTTTTAGTATAAGCTCACAATATTTTCCACATACATTATTAACAATCAAATAATTGTATAATTATTTTTTTATTTTTTTCTGGGATATTGTGTCCATGCCTCATGACAGTATTGCCGGGCTTTGGGGGGGGGGTAGAGAATATATAAAATATCTTTTGTTCATTTTCAAGAACTAAGAAGACCTATGGGAAAGCATTTAATAACTTCTTTGGGTAAAGGTTTATAGCCACGTTAACTAGTCAGGCTCCAGTGGATTGAAACTGCTGTTGCATGAAATTGCTTTTATATTATTTATCATTGTGTTCTTTTCTTGAATTTTCTTCTTTCAGAGAAGAGTTCCAGTCAAAATGCACATGTAACATTTACCGCTAAGGTGAAATGCAGAAATGAAAAGGACACATCCATTTGAGTACTCTCAGATATGATTACATGCACTTTATCATGTTTTCCATGCTACTGACTTTTTTTTAATGTTTAAAAATTGTAAACCTTAAACAGCTTAGGACTTGCAAACTCGGTGTTTCCGAATGAAGATCACAAGTAGAGATTTTATTACAGCATAAATACTTCAGAGGAGCCCTCGACCTAGATCCATACAGAGTTTTTTCATCAGCTGTGACCTGAAGCTTCAGCTCCTAGGATGGCAGACAAGCTTCCCACAGAGTTTGATGTGGTTATAATAGGGACAGGTTTGCCTGAGTCCATCCTGGCAGCTGCGTGTTCGAGAAGTGGACAGCGGGTTCTGCATGTTGACTCAAGAAGTTACTATGGAGGGAATTGGGCAAGTTTCAGCTTTACAGGCTTGCTGTCATGGCTGAAGGACTATCAACAGAACCATGATATTGAGGAAGATATGACCACCTCATGGCAAGATCTGATCCATGAAACGGAAGACACCATCGCTCTTTGCAAGAAAGATGAAACCATTCAGCACATAGAAGTCTTCTGTTATGCCAGTCAAGATGTTGGGGACAGCACTCAAGAGTCTGATGCTCTGCAGAGAAGTCTTTCCCCAAAGGCATCTGCCACCCTGGCTGAGTCTCTGGATTCTGCAGGCTTGCCCAAAGAAAGGCACACAGTATACTGTTCAAGCCATGAAGCACCTTCTAGACATACAGAGAGAAGTGATACAGAGCCTTCGCCATCCCCAGCTGATGCAGTGAGCTCACTGGAGAAAGAAAAGGATGGTGGAGATGAAACTGGTATCCAGACAATTTCAGATGGAGATAAAGATGAAGACAAACTTGGTGTAGAAGACAACACAGAACAACCAAAGAGAAATAGGATTACTTACCCTCAAATGATTAAGGAGAGCCGGAGATTTAATATTGACTTGGTATCGAAGCTGCTATATTCTCAAGGATCATTGATTGATCTTCTCATCAAATCAAATGTTAGTCGTTATGCAGAATTTAAGAATGTCACTAGGATCCTTGCATTTCGGGAAGGGAAGGTAGAACAGGTGCCTTGCTCCAGAGCAGATGTCTTTAATAGTAAAGAGCTCACTATGGTTGAAAAGAGAATGCTAATGAAATTTCTCACATTCTGCTTAGACTATGAACAGCATTCTGATGAATACCAAGATTTCGAACAACGTTCATTTTCTGAGTACCTAAAAACTAAAAAATTAACACCCAACCTTCAACATTTCATACTACACTCAATTGCAATGACGTCAGAGTCATCCTGCACTACGCTAGATGGCCTTAAAGCAACAAAAACCTTCCTTCAGTGTCTTGGACGGTTTGGCAACACTCCCTTTATATTTCCTTTATATGGCCAAGGAGAAATTCCCCAGTGTTTCTGCAGGATGTGTGCAGTGTTTGGTGGGATCTATTGTCTTCGCCATAAAGTCCAATGCCTTGTAGTTGATAAAGACTCTAGAAGATGTAAAGGAATCATTGACCACTTTGGTCAGCGAATAAGTGCCAGCTACTTTATTGTGGAGGACAGTTACCTTTCTAAGGAAACATGTTCAAATGTGCCATATAAGCAGATCTCGAGGGCTGTGCTCATCACAGATCAGTCCATCCTGAAGACAGATTCTGACCAGCAGATTTCCATTCTGGTAGTGCCTCCACTAGCGCCAGGAAGCAGCTCTGTTCGGGTCATGGAGTTATGTTCATCAACCATGACATGCATGAAGGATAGCTATCTGGTCCACCTTACCTGTTTCTCTTCAAAAACAGCCAGAGAAGACTTGGAACCGGTGGTGCAGCAGCTGTTCATTCCTTTTGCAGAAGTAGACAAGGAAGAACTTGGGAGACCAAGACTCTTGTGGGCTCTTTATTTTAATATGAGAGATTCCTCAGGAGTGAGCCGAAGCTCATACTGTGGCTTACCTTCCAATGTGTACGTCTGCTCTGGGCCTGACTGTGGACTGGGGAATGAGCATGCTGTCAAGCAAGCAGAAACATTGTTCCATGAAATCTTTCCCAGTGAAGAGTTCTGCCCTCCTCCACCAAATCCTGAAGACATTATCTTTGAAGGTGAGGGTTAGCAACCAGACAGTCCTGGAGTCAGTAACACACTTTCCCCAAGGACAGCAAGAACTTGTAAAGCCCAGAACACCTTCGAAATTAAAACTGACTGGAAGTATTCTTATCCTAGCCTCACAATATTGTCATTTAAAGACAGCTGCCATTGGTGATTGGCGCTGTTCACATGTCTTCAACACTGAGACACTGGGTACCTAATACCTCTGCTAATCTGTCAGCACCTGGTTTGTGGTGACTCAGCCTTTTCAAAATTGGCTTCAGGAATCCAGAATCCCTGAATGTCATTAGCTTTATTTTACTTTTGGGTCCCATATTAGCAACTTTGCTTAACTTAAGATAGCATTGCACTTGCTTCTGTGTTCAGGTTTTATCATTGTCTACACAAAATTAATGTCCACAGACTGCTACTACTGTTGCTACCTCCTCAGATGCATAGAGGAACATATAAATCACAACAGTGTGAGTGTTTTGTATATTATGTAAACACATAGAGCTGGTAGTAGGAGTAGCAGCTAATACAAGTGCTAATGTGATAAAACACAACTGTGAGAAACTTGGTCATGCATGAGCCTGTGTCTTCATCTGCTTAACTTTTGTCACTGAGGAGGCAGTGAGACTACCCTAGCCTGCTACTTTACAAAAAGAATGCTCCTTAGTCATTGAAGAAGCTCATATTAATGAGCTGTATTGCAATCTGGGTACGGTTGCTTATTCATGTAATGCTATCATTCAGGGGGTTGAGACAGGAGGATTGCTGTAAAGTCCAGGTGAGTCTGGGCTACAGTATTGAGTCTCATTTCAAAACAAAACCAACCCCACTACCTATCCCCCCAAAAGGAGTATATTATAAAGAAAATTAAAGGGACAGATTTATTCAGAAAATTTCTATAGAACTGACAATAACACTTAAAAGAACTAACAATTAACTCGGGGTAACATAAATTAATAAGTGACCCTAGAAAAGGATATTTTAGGATAGGTGTTTAGAAATTTCCAGAAAGAAATTCCCAGGGAAGAATAGTGGTTCAGGTTAATGTGGGATTACAGATGCCTGTAAAGTTACAGATTCCCCATCCAGGCTTCTTGGGGTGAAGCAGGACACCTGGTTGGCCTTGGCTGTAATAAGCACTGATAATTGACAAACTGCATTACTTCTACTATTCGTCTGTTACCTGGAGAATGGGAAGCTCTCCCTCCAGAACCGCTGGCTGGATCCCAGCAGTGAAGTCCTCTACTGTGAGAAGAGGCACAGTGTGTGAGTAGACAGCAGTGTGGTCTGAATATACGCTAGTACATGCCCTTTAGTGAGAGAAGTGAGATAAAACATTTAAATGAACACCAGTGTGCTGAGAGTAGAAAGCCATCCACTGGTCTTGGTGGGTTTTATTATAATAAATCCATAATGTTGTATAGATATTAAGGGTTAAATACAGCAGAACAGAAATAATCTGAAATGATCTAGAAGTAATAATTAAGAGATTTAAATGCATAGATTTAAGAGAATTAAATTCATAAAGTTTGTCAGACCACCGTCTTTTGAAAAGACAGTTAAAAGAGGCAGAGTTGTAAAAGATAAACAGAAATTACAAAAGAGAGAGCTGAATGTAATAGAAATAAGGATTAGATTAGGTCAAAGAAGGGGTTTGTTGTTGTTTTTTGTTTTCTAAACATTAAGTGGAAGTGACAAATTAGCAAAAAGTATTTAAAAATTAAGAGTGATGTTATCTAATTTTCTAACAAGGTAGAATGGGCTTCTTGCAGGTGTTTAAGAAGGAAAATCATAAATGCTGCCTTCCACTAATTACTTGGGACTCAATTAGGGCTCCATACTAAAAGTCCAACCAAATCTCTCATTCTGGCTAGGTGAAAACTGTATAAAATGTTGGCCAAGCAACAACCACCATCAGGATGAGAAAGCTTATGTCCAGTAGAGCAGCCCTGCATCAACATGACAGAACAAGAGATAAGAACCCATAATATTACTGCACTAACTAGACACTTCCATTTGCTCTAATTATGTTTGCTAATGAATTTGTGGGCTTTTCGTAACACAATAAACACCTACTTAAAACTTACTTGAATTTATATTGGAAAAGCCTGTATGCACCATTTCTTAAGCAGAAATGAACAGCTTTGGTACTAATTTTATCTGTATATGGCTGAAAAAAAAATTGTCACTGGAATAAAAATACAAAGTAAAGATGCAGAAAGAAACCAGTGCAAATATATTCTATTTCCATGGGTTTATAACTATTAAACCTATATTGCCATATAAATATACTATGAACAGAAGATAATTTCACAAGTTTCAAGATACATAGATTTTGTAATCTCATTTCTAAATTCCAATAGGGATAGAATTTTAAAAAGTATTGATATTAATATATATGAGCACCTTTAAAAATGTATCTGTATTAGAGTAATTTAAAAAAGATACTTAAATAGATTTTTAACGAAGGAGCTAAATTTAACATATGAGTATGCTGCCATATGAGATGTTTGCTTTGAAGGAAATGCTACAAACACAGGAAAATCTTAACATCATTTATTACTAGTTATCTGACTTCAGGGCAGTCACTTTCAGTTTTCATTTACCATCTATGAAATAGAAATAATACTTAATAGAATTACTGTGAAAGATTAAGTTGGATAATGTATAACAACCCATATCCAAAGTAATGCCCACATGTGATATTTGTAACTGATATTTATTACAATATCATCTGTGATGTCAACCTTCTGCTTTATGAATTTGAGAGAATTGTGATAAACTACACAGGAAGGTAAGCAAGAAAAGATGTCTTCAGTTTTAGAGGGGAAAAATATGGGCTTTACCTTTCAAGTCCTCAAGGCATGATACACAACCTGTCGAAATGTTCTGTGGTGTTGAGTTCAAGGTAGTTAAGACTTATCAGCTACCTGGAAAGAAGTATTTAGAAGCTGCTCTTAGGAAGACTGGGTTGTTATGGAGATAGATTCTAGGCCACTTTTCATCCAATAATGCAGCTTGTTTGTTAATTGAAATGTTAAACATAAATAGATACAAAGCAAGGAGGGAAGGTGGAATTTTTTTTTAAATGCTATCTCTCTTGCATGTTTTTTTTCTTATTTTGATTTTTTAAGTCAGGGCTTCTCTATGTAGCCCTGACTGTCCTGGAACTTGCTCTATAGATCAGGTTAGCCTTGAATTCCCAAGTGCTGGTATTGAAGTCATGCACCACTACTGTCAGCTTGCTTTTTATTTTTTTTAGTGGGTGCAAATTCTTTAGGCTTTCTACACTTGTGCAGAATATAAAGTGATAGGTTGCAATTGGGGGGGGGGAGTAAAAATAAACTCTTTGATCCTCATTTTAACGTGCATTAAAATAGAAATTAAAGCACTTTGACCAAGTCCCCACTAGTAAGTGGATTTTTCAGTCTGTGTGTGCCTTCATACAGCAGAATTTTGAAGAACTATTCAAGAGATTAGCCAGACCTCTATAACTGATATTTTTGACATCATCTTAAGTGGCTCATGTCCAGGAAAATACTCAGAATGAACAAATTAATAAATAAAGCTACTTCTAAAAAGACATTTTAGAAATTCCATTTGTAAGGTTTTTTTTTTAACCTGCTGACTAAGAAATGAATAAATTTTGGTGTGTTGCTAGTGCTATAGTAACCTTACAAAGTTAAATGGCATATATAAGATTGTATGTAAACAGTTTGACAATCAAAAAGATGTTAGTTTACAACCGAAATTATTGCTTGTTGGTTACATTTGTATAAAAATTTACATTGCTACACTGGAAGGAATTAGAAGGCATGTAATTTCAGGTTAATACTTAATATCTTTATTTCTGTAAAATATTGATGTGTACAATAAAAATAAAATATTAACTGATGAAATAGTTTACTTGATTGATGACAAAATACTGATTCCTTGAAACTATATAAATTCTTTAAAAAGAAAATACATTTCTAACTGTTAAAGTAAAAGCTAATCTCCAAAATTGTGTGGCTAAAAGTATTTGCAGGACTTCTTAAGAAGAAAGTTTGATAAAGATGAACTTTTCTCTCTCTTCCATGTCTTTTCTCAGTTGTCTGACTTTAAGAGCTAATCATAGAAATAGGTGCATTCCAGCTCATCAGTGTGAAGATCTTCCATGGCCCATCGTGATGGTGCATGCCTGCAATCCCAAAAGTTGGGAGGCTGAGGTAGAAGAATTGGTCTAAGTTTGAAGTCAGCCTGGACTACATAACAGACCATCCAGGGCTTTGTAGACATATTGTCTCAAGAGATAGAGAATGAGAATTACATAGTAATCCAAATCTAAAGTCATCCATCACAGTAGAGATAAAGTATGAGGGCCATGGAGATGATGTCAGTTCACAGATGTCCACTGAGCAGTTTCGGGGAGTGAGTCCTTTGCAAAAGATACATCTAGGGACTGTGGGTGCAGGCCAATACTTTCTTCGGTCAGCTTGAGTGATCAGAGGTGATGTAACCTGGCAAGCATCAGCTAAACACCTAATGTGATTATGAGTTGGCACCAGTCAGTTTAGGGATTAAAAATATACATGTTCTCTACCTGAGAAGCCTGCCGGAATGTTACCCTAAGGTAAGGTGTCCTTCCTGCTAACAAGCATTGTGACATTTTCTACCCACCACCCTTGCCCTTAATATGAAAACTAAAAACAACCCTCTGACCTGTGATACATGGCATCTTTTTTTTTTTTTTTTTCAATTTTATTTTTGTAAGCTGTTCTTTTTAGAGTGGCAATTTGTAAGAACATCCAACCCCCCTCCCCCCATGGCATTTCTTTAAGAGGGTTCAAAGCTTTGAGTTGCATAGTTGGAAACAAGCTGCTTAGAGACTAAAAGCTGGGTAGAAATCCATCCTATCTAACATTCTCAGTTTTGTGTCCTGTCTGGGGAAGAGGGACCACAAGAAGCTGAGCCCAAAGCACAGAGTGTCCTGAGAGTTGAGGGAGACGTGAGTATAAAGAACCAAAAGACAGAAGTGGAGTGTGAAACATTCAAAGTACCAAAACAGTGCCCTGTTTAAGATCAGTTCTAGTGGCCTTTGTGGTAGATCTAGTTGAAGTCTTTTTCCATTGTCTTTGTCTTAATTTGTATTTATGTATTTGTTTGGGGTGGGGGCTGCTACAGTACACTTGCGGAGGTCAGAGGACAGCTTGTCTATCCCTCCTACAAAGTTTTCAGGGATTGAAATGAGGTCCTTAGGCTTGTTGGCAGGCCCCTTATCCACTCCGCTGAGCCATCTCAACAGTCTTTTTTAACCTTTATCATTACTGTTTTTGTTTTTGAGACAAGATTTCACATATTCAGGCTGTCTTTGACCGTGGATTTCAAATGAAGAACTTCCGATGCTCCTGCCTCTACTGAAATTGCAAGTGTGCAGTACCACACCTAATTTGTGGGGCACTAGAGACTGAACCCAGGGTGTCCCATGCAAGGCAAGCATTCTCCAACTGAAGTACACCCTCAGTTTCTTGTACTAGTCTGTATTAGAATGAGGTGTTGTTTTGTTTTTTAGCCAATGACAGAATGCATTCATATTTTAACAGGGGGAGCAATATCTCCAGGTTTCTTTAAGATGTGCTCCTGCAGATCTGGGTGACTCAAGTTGATTATTTCATGGGCACTGGAATAGCAGTTTACTTCAGTGTGTATAGAGCACTGTCTTGTTCCCTTGAGGTACCACTGTAAGGTAAGGAAGGGCAAATCTTTTTCCAT